GGGGGGGGACTCTGGGTGTCAACTTAGCAGAAGTAAGCGGCAAATGTCAATGTAAAAACAAGCGTTAAAACCGCTAAGGTAAGCGCACAGCGGCGGCAAACCAAATGGTGGCCGTTTCGGGGAAAAGGACACAAAATGGAGGCCACTGGGACCGGGGTCCGGCAGCTGCACGCCTGCTGCCAAAAAGGCGTCATAAATAAGTTGGAGGGATTCTCTCCAGTCCACTTTTTCTTTGTACATGGTGCGACACAAGCCGCCAGGGGGGCTTTTTTTTTTAGTTTGCACACACACACTCAAGTTCAAGTGCTCATTCCGTATTTCCCCTACCCGTGTGCGTCCTGGCGTGCCGCTGCAGCTCGTCGCTCCGCGTGAAACGCTTGCCGCAGAAGACCCAGTTGCAGACGAACGGCCGCTCGCCCGTGTGCAGGCGGACGTGCGCGCGCAGCAGCGAGGTCTTGCGGAAGGTCTTCTCGCAGCCGGGAAAGTGACAGATGTGCTTCCGCTTGCCCACGTCGCCCGGCCTGCGGGGGAGAGACAGCGTTAGAACCCGCCGCGGTGAACCCCCCCTATTATTATTATTATTATCATCGAGGATCATTCATGTCGAGGATCATTTTTTTTTAACTAACCTTGTTGTTGCCCATGTCAAATGTCATTTTTAGCATTATGTAGAGATATCTAGATTTTTTTTTTTTTTTGGTCACCTCACGGGCCGCTGAAAGATGGAGAGGCGGGCCGCTGAAAAATGGCCCCCGGAAACTCCCGGGTTACGCCATTTGCCTTCCTTGCCTCAATGGGACGCGCTAGCTTTTGCTAATTTGCTAGCCAGCAAATTAACGACAAGTCAATTGGAAATCGACGCGATTGCATTGCGACATTGATGGCGTGCGCAAACCGAGTTTTCCGCCGCGTGTCAAAGTGAGCCGGTAAGGATGGCCGGGGGGGGGGCCCCCCCCCCCCGTGTTAGCAAACTCCATGCTAGGTGCCACATGCTACCTTTTCTCAGCGTCTTTACAGTTGGGGCACGTGCAGGCCATGCGTCTCTTCTTCTCGCCGGCGTGCCCGGGAAGTTCCAGGGTGAGCGTTTGGTCCACGTGAGCCGCCACGCCCGCCAGCTGGAGGCCGCCGCCCTGCATGGTCTGCACCGTCAAATGCTGCTGGCCTGACAAAAAAAACAAAAAGGCGAACGAACACGTCAGCTCACGAGTATGGGCCGTGATCTTTGCAAGCGGGAACTTTTTCTATCCCTCTCCATCGTTTCAAACATCTCAAATGTGCCCCCTTCGGCACCAGAATTTGCCCCGCCCCCCGAACAAACAAAGTCTCCCCCCCCCCGGGGCGCACCTCCGGCGTTGGTGATGGTGACGGGAACTCCCTGCACTTGGACGCCGTTGATGCTGATGGTCTGCACCGCCTGCGTCGCCGACGGCAGCTGCGACGTGTTCAGCGCCATCATCCCGCCCGCCGGCGCGATCTTGGCCAGGGTGCGCTCCTTCCTGCCGCCCGTCGGCGCCTTCTTGGCCACGGAGGCGGGAGGGGGCGACGAGGCCGGGGTGGCCACGGGAGTGGTGGGGGTCGTCGCCGCGGAGGCGGCGTCCTGCAGTTGCACCGAGCGCCACTCGCCGGCTCCCGTCTTAAAAAAGATCTGATGGAAGGAGACCGTTTGCGAGAAAGGAATGAGGAGGCACTTGGGGGGGGGGGGGG